ATCAATCAATCAATCAATCAATCAGTCAATCAAACTGATTGATTGATTGAATATACAGAAAAGAAAGGGAAGAATGGTTTTGATTTTTGTTTTATTTGAGCAAAAACAGGGGGGGGAGTGGGAGAAGGGGGAGGAAGAGGGAAGGGCGAGGGAGGGGCGAACGTGGACAAGGGCGGGGACCGCTGGAGGATAGGAGCGGGAGGGGGTGAAGGAGGACGGGGGAGGACGGGCGGGAACGAGGGAACGCGGGTTAGGGGTCCAGAGGGGGAGACTTTCTTTTTTTGTGTTCTTGATCTATCAATAGACCAATCAATCAATCAATCTGTTAATCAGTCTTGATTGATTGATTGATTGATTGATTAAAAAAACGAAAAACAAAAAGGTTAAGAAAGGGGTGGCGATCGATCAACCTTGATCGATGGATTGATTGATGGAGCGGATGTGACCGAAAATTGTACGGTATGGAGTTGACTCTTTACTAGGCCTTCCCGTTCACAGTTACAAAAGACCCAAACGGGTTTACTATGATCTTCAATTGGAGATTTTCTGCGAAACATCGGAATCTGGATAATCGCTATGAATTATCCAAAAAGGTGGCTCCGGGGCCGATCAAACAACTACTGAGGGTACCTCACTTGGCAGATTTTTGAAGCTTCGAGACGCCGTAGTCAAATCAATCAGTAAATCAATAAGTCAATTAATCAATTCATCAATTGATCTAGGCTACCAGAGTGGCCCGGGGTTAATTGCCCGGCCGGGCCAAAAATATTTAAAATTTTAAAAGTAAAAACAATTATTTTACAAATTTATTTTATATTTTAAATTTGGTAAAGAATTTCGATGTGACCTTGAGGCAAAAGTTGTTCAGTTTATTTTTCTTCATAACATAGTTTTTTTTTCGGATTTTTTGGATTTTTTTGTTTTTGCTGTGACCTTCCCTTTTCCTTGCACGGGCTGGCCACCCGGGACCCGGGCGGCCCGGCTGGTAGCCTAGCAGTTGATTGATTGATTGATTGAGAAAACGAAAAAGTCAAAAAAGGGACGGCAATCTATCTTGAATCATGGTTGCCAAAGGGACGTCCGGATCCCGATCCAGACAGTCCGGTGCCCGGATCCGATGTCCGGGTCCGGTGTCCGGCAGTTTTCCTGGGCCTGGGGTACCCTGGAAAAATATTGATGATGTTTTTTGCGAACCGGTATCCCAACTGGACCGGCCCTGAAAGGGCCCTCTGTATGAAAATTTGAAAACACGAGAGCACAGTAACAGCCCCGCTGGCGGGAGGACCCGATTTTCGAACATGTGGAGGACAATTTTGAACGTCGAAGAGTGGAGTGGCAGCCCCAGGCGAAGAGTAGCAGCCCCTGAAGTCGCCTCGTCGAGCAGAGCTGTCGTCGAAGTTCCCGCCCGCTGCAGTGCCATCGCCATCTTGCCGTGGAGGTCTGCCCTGTCGCCTGCTGAAGCTCCACCATGGAGAGTCAACAGACTGAGGCGGGATACTTTGGGGGTTGGAGCGGGTGTGGAACCCTTGGGGGCTGGAGCGGGTGTCGAACTTTGCTCTGTGTGTGTGTGTGTGTGTGTGTTTGTGTCATGTGTTGCCGTTCAAGATTCTAAGTTTCGAACTTTGAGGTTCAGAGAACTTAAGGCAAAAATAAACCTAATATTTCCAATATGATTAATAATTAATTTAATACACTTAATATTTCCAATATGATTAATAATTAATTTATTAGCATGTCCGACCAGTCCCACAAACCTGTGTGTCTGTGTACTTGTACTGTGTGTGCGTATTTTTCCCCCGGGACAACCGGACACTGATACACCAAACCGGACTGTCCGGGTCCTGATGTCCGGCTAACTGGACGTCCGGTTTAAACCACCACTACCTCCGCCGTCCTAAATTTGGGGGCCCCTGTAGCACAGGTCCATGAGGGCTACTGGGAGCACAGTGGGGGAACCGGGGGAGTGGCAAAATTGGAATTTGCGTCGAATTGCCCCTGCGATTTATTTTGGGGTTGAAATGATTTTTAAGTTTTTTTTTAATATTTTTTCCTAGAAAGATCTTGATAAAATCTGCGGACTCGCCAAGTTTCATAAATTTTAGAGTATTGTATTGGACGTGAAAAATCGCTGAAGTCGGGGTAATTTTCCCGTTGGTCAACAGGTGATAGAGCGGCAAAAATGGAATGTGGGACGCATTGGCGCGGCATTTATTTCACGGTCTTAAATATTTTTTGATTTTTTAAAATATTTTTCGTGGAAAGTCCACGACCAAATCTACAGGCCTGTCAATTGGCAGAGTTGTTGAGTCATCCTTCTGAGCGCAAAAAATCGCGGAAGTTGGGATATTTTTCCCGTTGGCCCAGATGTTGTAGAGTGGCAAAAATGGAAATTGCGCTGAAACGGCGCGGCATTTATTTCACGGTCTAAATATATATATATGTGGGTGAGTGATAGTCTACTTTGATTTTGGTTAAGGTAGATTATCATTTACAGTGTAATCAGTGAGGGGATTCTGGAGACTGTTGAGGGTTCANGATTTTGGTTAAGGTAGATTATCATTTACAGTGTAATCAGTGAGGGGATTCTGGAGACTGTTGAGGGTTCAGCCTCCTGATGAGTTGGTGAAACTCCGACGAAACAGTTTGTCACAGCCCCTCGTTTGTTGTCCTCTTTTCTCTCTCTGCCTACGGTTTACCGGGCAGTTCTGTTTGTGACGATATATATATATATATATATATATATATATCGTTATCTATCTATCTATATATATATGACGATATATAATATATGATATATATTTTTCCTGGAAAGATCGCAAT